TCGATCCCCAGTACCTCTGTTAAAAATAAACCTAAATATCTATCCCCCCACTGCCAAAAAAATAATAAAACACTACAATAATAAAATTTCCTCAGAAGTAAACATTCCTCTCTTTGGAAAAGGGAGTCAAAAAGTGGTTAGAAGACTTCAGAAAGGGGGGCAGGAGGCACATATCATGTTCTTGTGCTTATCATGCAATACACCCTGGTCACAGGTCTAGACAGACATGGGTGCATAGCATCTCAATTTGCAAGATTAAGATTTTTTTCCTTTGCTTTTATGCTTTTTAAATTAAATATTTAGTAGATATAAAATATATGTAGAGTATAAACAGTAACAATAAAGCAAAACCCCAGGTACCCACCAGCCCATGACTCTCACGCCTGCAGCTCCACTGTATGACCCTCCCGGATCTCTCTGGCCCACCATCCCTCCACTGAAGCATGCAGAATTTTGTCATTATTGCTTTACTTTTTTATCCTATGTGTTTGTATGGGGTAAAGAATAATATAGAAAACAGTTTTGCATGTTTTAAATTTTATATAAATAAAATGAGTCAACTGCTTCTACAACTTGCTTGTGCAGCTATAGTTTATGACTTCCATGTATGGGTGTATAGTAATTCTCTTCCTTGCTAATACGCTAATACACTAATGTAAATGTACCATGATTTACTTATCTATTCCCCTGCTGATGGATACTTGGGATTATTTCCAGTTTGGGGCTTTAAAAATAAAAGTGCTGTTAGATTAAGTACACAAATATTCAGTAGTTTTAGCGACTCTCAGTGAAAGGCACTACATTGGTAGAGGTTACTGAGAGATCATGACTGGGCATGAGTGATATATGCAGTTCACCAAATGAATCCTAAAAAGGGTAGGTTAAAAAAAATCAAACAAAAACACTGCACATTCCATCTCCAAGGTCAGAGCATGTGATGTGGAGGTGAAGAAGTAGTAGCTGAAGAGCTGGCCTCCTACTTCTCCAGCCTCACTGTGAAGCACTCTGAATATTACGTTACAAAGTTGACAACTTAGTCTGACCTAATTACGTCCTGGTTTATCCTGGAAAAGACTTAAGGAGACATTCTGATGCTAGGCTAGTGACACTAGTGCTTCTTAACCCTTCTGAGGGGACAGAGCTCTCTCTCAACATGTATTGAAAATAATTACCCCCACCCTAGAAAATGCATATAACACATTTTGCATATATTTTCAAAGGGTACCCACCTTGAAAGATACTCAGAAGTCTAACCATGGACCCCAATAAAGAAACCCAGAGAAAAATGCAAGTGAGAATTAGGTTAACACTAAAGAGAGAAGAAAACTAAAGACTAACAAAAAAAGACTAGAATACAAAATTACATAGACTCCACCCATTTAACCTAGTAGGAACAACAACAAAAATCCATCGAAGTGCAGCAATAGGCTATAAAGAGGTAAGAACAGACGTGACTTTTCTTTCCCTCTTCTTTATTTTCCAGAATGTTCACAAAGGTAATGTATATGCATTTACATTTATTTTCACGTAGTTATATTAACTTATGCTAGAAAAATCATACAGATATAAGAATCCCTTTCAAAAGTCTTCCTTTCCAAATCTCCATTTTGTCCCTCCCCTTCCCCCATCCCAAATTTTCATTAATGAACATGAAATCATTCTTTGCACCAGTTGTGATGCACAAGATTTGGTTTAGAAATGTACATGTGTGCATGAAAAAGCCTTTTAAAATGTACAATGTACTCAAATAACAGGAACAACAAAAACAACAGAGTTTCATTTTTCCCACCTAATACTTGGGCATTGAAAAAAAATGATCCTGGGCTAAGGAAGATTAATAAAAATATGAAGGAGACTTACCAAAAGGCTAAAGACAGATTCCCACGTTAAAGACAAAGCAAAAGATCACAGTTTAATCACCTGAAGGAGCGTGTGAGAACCAGCTCTATCTACCTCCTGTTTTTCAGAGCAGAATTTATGCAGTCTAAAAGTCTCCAGATTTACATCTATAACCTAACCATAAATGTAAGCAGGTAGAGCATTAATTTTGCCCCATTTTCCTTTTTTAAAGTAATTAGACAATTTAAAAAAGGCTTCCAACATGGGAGAAACTTGAAATATAATGGGTATTATTAAACAAAGCTATTTGTATGTACTCTGGCCTCCAAAATGTCAAGGCAGTAACATTTATCTGTGCTATGGAAAATATTCAAGACCAGAAAGTGCCTGAGTAAAACCGCCACTACTCAGTTTTCAGATTTGGCACATTCCCTAAAGTATTCTTCACCCTCTTCTACTTTTTCACAAGAGACCTTATGGCAGGAACATTCCACTGCATTCCATCTGCAATCAGCTATAATCCCTGTGAGCAGCAGTCCAGGCCAGCTTGCCAGCATAGCAGACTTTTAATGCGGCTAACACATGTGGCTACAGCAAATTCATTTCAGTTTTTGCAGTAATTCTAAGTTCAAAATCCATGTTCTCTCCCAATCTTAAACCCATTTTTTTTCAAAACAAGCCATTAATATTATCTAAACATAACAAGTTGGCTCACTTAAAATCTCTCACTTAAAAGTTATTTGGATTACATATTAAGTCAAATTACTAAAAAAAAAACCTGCCATATAAAACTGTAAATAGAAGTCGAACACTTTTTAAAAATACCAAAAATTCTACCTTGTACAATAGTTAAAGGTTACACAATAAATATGTTTTCCTTCAAAAAAAAAAAAAAAGTTCTAGAGGAAGTCTCTGATATGATTAACTAGCTCTCCAAGAACAAACACCTTTCAAAGGAACCAAAATTACCCAAAACCTTCTATACCATGACAAAGTAAGTATTCGGCTAGAAAACTAAACTTCTTCTAAGGCTGATTCATCTAATGAGGATTTTTGTTTCAGGAGACTAATATTTTAAAAGTCACAAATTTCTCCTGCTGAATGTTTAAATGCAAAGAGGCAGTGTGCTATACAGCCAGATGGCGTAACTATCCAGATATAACACTAAGTTCTAATAAGCTATAATTCCAAATTTTTCCCCAAACATACTGGATGTTTAGTTTAAATCTTCAAGGTCCAGCTGAAATGCCCTATCATCTACGAATTTTACATTTGCCCTTTGCCAAACTCACATCTGCACTTTCTTAAAACCCCTTTTTTATGGCAAGTATCACTTTGATCACTTTTACTTTGTATTGAGGTTTTTTTGGTATGTCTTATCTCTCTTATTACAAATTTTTAACAGCTCCTTAAGGGCAGGGTCCTATGGTACATGCAACTCTGTGATGCCTACAGACTCACATGATAGCAGACTCTCAAAACAGGAAGGAAAAGAAAAAAGAGCTAGGCAGAGCAGAGCCACTCAGCCTATTGTCTAGAAAGATTCTAGACAAAATATGATGGAAAAAGTCATCAGTAATTCAGCATGGTGGTCCACAGACTGGTTTTCATGGGACTAGCACAACATGCCCAGGCCTATTCTAACCATACTGATTACTTTAAATAAAAACTAGGCATTTCTTCTTTAATATTTCATCAAAAGACAGACAAATATTTTCAATAATTCTGGAGAGATCTTCATGGAAATAAACAAGAGTCAGTAAACAGAACTTACATCCTCACAAACTTCAAAATTTATGGCCCTACCCTAGATGTTGAACGAGGATAGGAATCTTCCTGTCTTCTTCAGTTTGCTATCTACTACAAGTAAACACATTTGAAATCCTTCATCCAGAGTGAACACCATATTTGGATAATTTTACTTTTTTCCCCTAAACTGACATTATTTTCTATGCAATCAAAATAATAAGGTCAAAAAGAGAGCCACATATCTTAGAAACATATCTTTCTATTAGCCATCAATAAAAAAAGCCATTAGCCTTTTTTATTAGCCATCAGTAATCTCTTAGTGAGCTTTTAATCCAGATGATCAAAAACAATATCAAAGTCAGAAAATCAAGCAGACCCAGATCCATTTCATGTAACTATCCAGAACTATAGAAAAATTTTTTAATTTTGCTACACTAATAGTTCTATTCTAGACAGGCAAAAGATTACCTTTTTTAATATTCTATCCAGTATTCAGCATACCTTTATACATATAGTAGATACTTGCTGGTAAGTAAAATCCTATTAACTTATAGGATATTCTTTTATGGTAAAAAAAAAAAACCCAACCTTTACAAGATATAAACATGAGTAGTTTTATTCAGGTGTTTAAAATATACAATGCAGTCAAGACTGAAAAATAGGCTACTATTATACCTTATCACTAATTAAAAGGGAAAAAAAAACTACCTTAGAAAAACATGTTGCTGCTTAAACTATCTCTTGAAGGAAATCTAACACAAGTTATTTCTGGGAAGAGGAACCAGTTGACTATGTGATAGGGTGAGAGGCATGTCTGTACTGTATACTCTCTGCACCTTTTGAACTTTATACCTTGTGAATGTCCTACCTACTCATAAAAATAAATCAAAATTGGGGGGAATCAAGGCATTGCTATTTGATCTTGACAATGAATATAAACTTACAAACCATTTAAGATGTGGGCATTCTAAAATGATTGTCATCAAGGAAAAAACGTTAGTATTACTACTTGTACTAATAAAAATTTCCATTTGTTTTTATTATACGATAAACTGACTTTTGCATTTCATGATATGGCCTTTTAATACTCACTTTCTACTTAAAAGTTTTTAGTAAGATTTCCAACCCTGTAAGAAAGGCAGCAACAGACATCTCAATTATTAATGAAAATCCAACTCCAAGACACTGGAGATTTCAGTATGCAAAACATCAGAGGAAAGTAGATCTTTTTGGAATCAGTTCTGGCTCCTGATCCAGGATTTCCTAAAGTCCACCTTTGAAAAGAACTTGTGATATACACCAGCATATTCAGAGGCAACACCAACGACCAAAAAATGCCTCCATACTAAGTTGTATATAATTAAAACATATTTTCCAGAGAGAAATAAGTGGCTCAATAATCAGGATTTAGTGTGCTCACTTCAGCAGCACCTATATGAAAATTGGAACAACACAGGGAAGATTAGCAAGGCTTCACGCAAGGATTTAGTTATATAGTGTATAAAACATAATTTTTAAAATGAAGCACAAATAATAACATAGCTTGAATGAGTGACACTTGAGAACACAAACATTTGTTCTCTAGTTCAATTATAAGCCTAGCTCAAACTAAGAAAGGAGCAAATAATCAATACTGACCTTTTTAAAAACAACTTTATTGAGATATATAATTTATGTACCATTAAGTTAACCCACACAAAGTGTACAATTCAATACTAAATTTTGCATCTCTTTTTCTTTCACAATCTATTCATCGGATATATAATTCACAGAATTAATGGCACCACAGACAAAGAAATGCAAAAAACAATGGTACAGCAGTTACGACTCCTAATTTTGAATCTTTTTTTTAAAAAACAGTGTTGCATTTTAAAAAAAAGAGTGTTGCAAATCCTATTTAGCAAGCTCAGAAATGTATAAAGTAATGGAAAGTTCAAAGTTGTATACGAGGAATCTATTTTTTTTTTAAGTCAAACTCACAGTAACAGAATAGAATGGTGGTTACAAGAGGCTGGGGGGGAAAGAGGAGCTACTGATCAAAGGGTACAAACTTTCAGTTATGAGATGTAAGTTCTGGATACCTAATGTGCAGCATGATGACTGTGATTAATAATAATGTACTGTATATGGACAAACTTATTTACAAAACAGAAACAGACTTACAGACATAGAAAACAAACTTATGATTACCAGGGTGTAAAGGGGGTCAGAAGGGATAAACTGGGAGTTCAAGATTTGCAGATACTAACTAATATATTTAAAATAGACAAACAAGTTCATACTGTATAGCACAGAGAACTATATTCAATATTTTGTAGTAACTTACGGTGAAAAAGAATATGAAAATGAATATATGTATGTTCATATATAACTGAAGCGTTATGCTGTTCACAAGAAACTGACACATTATAAACTAACTATATGTCAATAAAAGTATATATATATATATATATATACAAAAAAGTATTGTACATGTAAAATTTGCTGACAGTAAATCTCAAGTGTTCTTATCACAAAATAAAAATGAGAAACATGTTAATTAGTTTGTGCTAATCAGTTCACAATGTATACACATATCAAAGCATCACACTGTACACCTTAAATATATATAGTTTAATTTCCCACTGGGAGAATCCTCTATATAAAACACTGGCAAATGGCCCACAAATAGATGAGATCAGAATTGTTTCCCCAACAATTCAACATTAACTTGTGTCAGAAAGAACAAAAACTCTGCTTTATCACAAAGTTATAGGTTTCAAGATAGTAAAACCTACCACTATTTTAAGTAACAATCTGCCTAGAGATCCATGTCAAGTAATTACTACAAGTACCAAAACACCCAGCTTCAGTCATTTTTTACCTAAGCAATTATATAGAGAAACAAGCTAGGAAGCAAAGACTGATAATTTTAGTAATAATTTGCAAGTTTACTGTTAGATCTGCATCTGTTGCTCAACTCAAAGAACTATTATAAGGAAGGAGAGTAAGTGTTAAGACCATCTTGGCAAGCTCAAGTGCTATTTAAAATCAAGAAAGAAAAATAATCTTGGAGACTCAGTAGGTGTCTTTCATGTCACCATTTACTAAAACTCACTGCCTACACCTTTACTACTGTTAAGACTTCAACTTAATAACACTAGCTAAATTAGTTCAGTTCTCCAGGGACTTCTCAATTGTAAGGAACAAAATAAACAGTCCATATTTAAATATGCTATAGCAAACATCACAGGGGAAAGTACTCAATATCATTCAGAACAGCAAAGTTCAAAGTGTTAATAAATACCCAAATGTTCACTTATTCTGAGCACAGCAGGAAGGGAAAGAGAGAAGGACAAAAAAATGAGACAGAACTGATAGAAAACAACATGAACTCACTAGTTGAGTTGCCTTGCATCTGAATGATGCATTTGGACTCTTTGCTCGTCTCTCGAGAATTGAAGGGTCGCACACGGACAGCCACCTTCACTGAGGCTCCCGACATTCTGATGGTCTTGTTATATATATTCAGTCCAGAAATAAAGAATCAAATCTTCTTTTGAAGTTAAGTTCAAGTTTCCTTTGAAAAAAGAAAAAAATTCCATACAAGGTAGTCAAAATTAAAGAAAGCATAGGTTAACTTGAGCGTAAGAGCTATTATCTTATATCATAGCACTATTTGTTTCCATTTCTAAAAACCTCATCCTTTTTCTTCTCTATAAACCTTGTATCTCAATAGTAAAAAATAGAAAATTAAAGATGGTAAATTGTTTTCCTGGTCCATTTTCTCTTTTTTTTTTTTTTACATTTTTTATTGATTCATAATCATTTTACAGTGTTGTGTCAAATTCCAGTGTCATTTTCTCTTTATCATACCTAAAAAAATCCCTGAACTTAAAAATAAATAAATATTAACTGGAAAGTAACATCTTCCTTGGTCTCTTTTTCCGGGTCAATCTTCAGTAATACATGAAAACAAACCCAAAATGTTTACTTGTTAAAGAGGGTTCCTTTAACAAGTAACTTCCCATCTGTCTTAAAAAGAAATGCACTGAACTTTTTATATTTTAATTACAGTTTGAAACATCCAGTTACATGATGTATATATAATTAAACAGCAAAGAACAAAGATAAGCTCTAGCTAGCTTCTTTAACTTGTAGGTATCCAGGGATTCCTTTAACTTCGACGAGCCCTTTCATATGTATCTCATTTGACCCTCACAACCACCCTGTACAATAAACCGAGAAGGTTCCAAGAGACCCAAGCTCTATCCTCTGACTCATGGCAGAATCAAATCACATTTCACTACTGAATGAAGCCACAGGAAAAAATGTGAACATTTTTTAGAGGAATAGTTTCCCTCCCAACAGAACAAAATGAACACTATTCTGTGACAAGAACCCACATAAGTAATTTCCACAAGAAAACAAAAGATCTCAGTTCGCACTCTATCTGTTATACAAACATCTTCAAGAACTGAGAAAAAGAAAAAACTAAAAAAGAAGAACACTTATGGGTCCAATTACCAAGGAACTCCAACAGAATTTAAAATCTGACTAATTGTTTTCCACATAATTAAGTAAAGGTTAGGAATGCTAACCTTCAGCTGTACTACTATTAATGCTTTCCACAGGAAAAGGCCAAAATAAAAACCCTATCTTATTTTCTTAACAGCATTATCATTATCTGAATTCTTGTCTTTTGGAACATGTCTATTGTCCGGCTCTTATACAACCACCAGAACGCTCAAGACCTCCTCTGCTAGCACTTGAAACAGTATCTGATAAAAGAACTTGTTTGCTGAAAGAATGAATTAATGAATTATACTTCCCAGTTGTGAGAATTATTCTTTACCTGGATAATCATCCTTTACATGAACTTATTTAAGTCCTTTACTTGGTTTACTGACATTTTTTGGTTTGTTTCAAATGATTACAGTATTTATTGATATTAATCTTTTGTTTGTGGTTTTCATTGATATGGATCTTATCATATTTGCTACAATGTTTTTTCCAGACTGTTTCACATTTTAGTTTACATTAATCAGATGGTTATTCTTTTGATATACTGAACATTTATTGTGATCACACTTATCAAATGAAAGCTTAGTTATTAACACTCCCCATCGATATAGCATGACCTATAGTCACTATGTGAGTACTCTGTCAAAATAGAGCAAATGAAGCATTCACAAAAAACAAGACATAGGATGCATCTCAACCCCCTAGAGTTCATTTTAACATACAGCCATCATCTCAACACTCAACATGTCCCATCATCTTCTTCCCCAAACCAGCAATCTCTGTCAATCTCCTCATTTCTGTCTGGCCCCATACCATCAATCTTGGAGTCATCTTTGTATCGTTCCCTTTGAATCCTTTTATTAGTGTTAACATTATTAATGAAATACCATATGAAAACTTTTAAAACATAAATTTGCACTTTTCTATCCCTTCCTTCCTCTTATTCCCATTGTCCTTACTACCTCATGCCTAGCCTACTTGTAATAGCGGAACTAACTGGAGTTTTTAGTTCTAATCCAACAATCCTTTAAATGGGGTTGCACAAAATAACCACACGGGGGTCTTTTGAAAAGCAAATGAGCCTAGACTCCTCCAGCCTGCTGTTCAATAGTTTGGAGATAAACCCCACCTATGTTGTTTTGTTTTGCTTTTTTCACTTTCTAAAGATTATGTTGCAATCTCCAGCTGAGAACCCTGCTTTAAGCAACTGCTTAACCCTACTGCAATACTAACCTTTCTAAAGCATGACTTTCAATTTCACTTCCAAATCCAAGAACCTTCTCTTATTCTCCAGTGCTTACAAGATTAAAGTACTCTGTGCTCTAGTCAAGTTCCGTTACTATTCCACACACGTTCTTTCACTTTCTTTCACGTTCTTTCACTTTCTTTCACGTTCTTTCCATTTCTCTCCTACAATGGGCCTATGAATCTTCATTTTCTCCTCTACCTGATGGCCCAATTCCAGTCTTACCTCTTCCAAATGACCAACCAAACACTCCAGGAATCATTGGTATTTCCTACAACACTATATAGCCTGCTTTTTAAGAACACTGCTATCATTTTATAGGACTGTATTCTATCTTGCACTGTTCTTTAATAGCTTTCCAAAGTGAAAATTCTATTCCTTTAAAAAATCTCTTTGAACTTGAATTCCTTGAAAAAAATGGTTAATTCCAAGTATGGGCAAGAAATTTCAAGATGATCCTGGGACATTTCAGTATGACCACAAGCAAGAAATCAAAGATGAATGGGGTCATGGCAAAAGGACACAGGTGCCAACTTAAAGAGGCTCCCTCTGGCCAAAGACGAGATAACTGAAGCATAAAAATATATACATACATACACATTGCATATGGATTGAAAAACATTAAATATATAAATTCATAGATTTATAACAATACTTTCACAAACCTCATTATTCTGAAAACTGGCAAATAAAACAAAAGAATGGAGCATATCCAGTCTGTATATCCTGTGTAAACTATATTCCAGAACAGCCAAATAGTCACTGAGGGCAAGTTTTTCTTTGCAGAAAACATTCAGCTGATAGATGCAGAAGAAATGACAGAATTAGAATGTCAGCATTTCCCAACCTTACTGATACAAAGGTTTTCTGCATCATCACTACTTACTAAATAAGCCTTAGATGAAAGGTTGGTTGATGTGAGAACATTATACTGTACGAATTAGGCTGACAACATCTGAACCAAATGATCATTAATCTCAACATCACTAAAAGTGGGACATCTGGGTGGCCTATGCTTCCTGATGTGCTACATACAACAGGAAACAGCACCACCTAGTAAATATTCTTACCCCACCCCTTAAAAAAAAACTGATTAGAATCAAGCCCCAGTTTGCAGAACATGTAGAGAGCAAAGGAACAATTTAAATGCCACCTAGAAGATGCAATCATCCAAACCCAGAACACGGAAAAATCTACAGGACAAATCACCCAGTTTCTTCAATAAAACAGCATGATATTGGGGGGGGGGTGTTAATAAAAGAGACTTAAATGTTGACAATTACTGAATATTGTAGATATTTAAATTAAAAAAACAAAACTTTCTTCTTTTATGTTCTATCCAGGGCCTACCAAAGTGTTGAATGCTGTTGATTACCTTACAAACCGACAAGAAAGGCTGAAACCTCCTTGCTGAGTTTTAGATGTAAAGTACTATTTAGACATAAAGTACTAGGAACCAAAATACTAACATCTCTAATATACAACGCCCCCCACATGAACACTTTTCAATAGTGTTTGACTCCACTACCTAGCTATTCTCCTGGTATTTCATTCACCCAAACCCAAAATATCTCTCCACTTTCCCCAGCTCTTCTACTTCTTTTCTAATTCTTTTAATATTCTCACCATTCTCCTGTTTCCACACAGGCCAAAAAGCTTGCTTCCTCTATGCATCTAATCAACCTTCAAATTGCATGCATTCTATCTATAAAATCTCTTTCCATTTCTACCAACACCATACCATCCCTTTTATGTACCACCATACCATCCCACAACCATCCTACACAGTTCTGTCATTTTCATCTACTCCATCCATTCTACGCAACACTGCCAGATGCATATTCCTGAAGCATAGGTCTTGTCATATCACTGTCCACTTAAAAATCCTCAAAGTTTCTCTACTGTCTACCAAGCAATGACCAAACTCCCCACAGTGGCATTCAATGTGTTCTGCAAAAAAACCCACCTATTTTTATAAGGCCACAAAACACTGCCTTCCATCCACATTCCTTAACAACCACTCACCAGAGGATTTCCTGAAAGCATCTCATATTTTTCTGCTCCTGTACCTTTGCTCCAATGTTCCTTTTACCGACCATACCCTCCTCCTCTCTTGTTCTTCTCAAAATTCAGTCTTTCTTACAGGACCTTCTCATATACTACCTATTACTAAAGCCTTCATAGATTCTCCCAACCTCCCAAACCAAATGCAAATACTTCTCTATTTAACACTTCTCAACTCATTGACCTTATCTAGGGCACAATAAGTTGTTTTTCTTTTCTCCACTGTAAATTTTAAGTTTCTTGAGGACAAGAAAGGAATTTTAATCATGTTTCTAATTCCTTACATCACATTTTGACAGTAGTCAAAATATTTTGGTTGAATTTACTGTGTATCAGCAGACTGATGTTAGAATGGTATTAATAAAACACATAAGCTGTTCCAAAATAGACACACAGATTAACCAAAAAGAAAAAGGATAAAATTAATTTCAAATGCCTTCCTAACTGAAAAAGCTAACAGTCATTCTTCTTTGGAAGCGGCATGTACATTTTAAAATTACTTTCCCCAAACAACCTGAACCTAAATTTTTTTTGATTTAACTATCCTGTGGCAAAACTGCAACCATTTTCACCAGTGAGTTAAAATTTTATACAGTAACAGGGAACTACAGTTAAATAGACTATAACAAGTGTAACTTTTGTTACTTCCCTACAACTACAAAGATTATCTCCTTTATAATGGATGTCCGTCAATGAATTATAGCTTCAAAACTCCCTGGTCCTTTTTAAAAAATAACCAATTATATAAATCTGAAATCAAGTTTAAAATCCAGTGAGA